TTTGCTACTGATCTCCAATTTCATCACACTATGGTCTGATAATATACAGGGGATAACTTCAATTCCTTTGCACTTACTTAAACACGTTCTATGTGTGAGTATGTGGTCTATTTTGGAGAATGACCCGTGTGCAGCTGAAAAGAATGTGTATTCTGATTTTGTGTGGTGGAACACTCTGTAAATATCTGTTAAGTTCATTTGTTCAAGAGTTCGATTGAGTTCTGGTATTTCATTACTTATTTTTTGTCTAGTTAATCTATCTATTTGTGACAGTGGGGTATTGAGGTCCCCCACTACTATTGTATTTGTGCGTATATGATTTTTCATGTCTGTTAGTATTTGTTTTATATAGTTGGGCACACTAGTATTTGGTGCATAGATATTTATGATTGTCATCTCTTCCTGTTGGATTGTTCCCTTTACAAGGATGTAGTGTCCTTCTTTGTCTCTTTTTAAAAAATTCTACAAGCAGTTACAGAAAGGAAACAAATCAGGTACAAAGGAAAGCCCATCAGGATCACAGCAGACTTCTCAATGCAAACCCTCAAGGCAAGAAGAGCTTGGAGTGATGTATTCTAAGCCGTAAAGGAAAACAGACTCCAACCAAGATTGATGTACCCTGCAAAATTATCTTTCAAAATTGATGGAGAAATATGATACTTTCATGACAAAGAGCATCTCAGGAACTTCATGAATACCAAACCATTACTCCAAAAAATTTTAGATAATATCCTCAGAACAGACAATGAGGATCACAACCCCAGGAAGCACAGCAGAATGAATCCATTGTGCACAACAAGAAATTATATGTAAAGTGGGAGAATCCAACAAAAAGAAAAAGTCATGACAATGATAAGTCAATACGTATCAGTTATAACCATCAATGTTAATGGTCTCAACTCACCAATCAAAAGAAATAGACTGGCAGAATGGGTCAAGAAGCAAGATCCAACAATGTGGTGCATACGAGAAACACACTTAATTCAAAAAGAAACTCAGATTGAAAGTTAAAGGGGTGGAAAATAATACTCCATGTGAGGGGAACCAAAAAAAAGCAGGAGTAGCTCGCCTCTTTGCAGATCAAGTGGATTTCAAACCAACATTGATTAAGAGAGACAAAGGAGGACACTACTGTTCAGTCTTTTAAAAAAATATTCATTGAATATTCTGTCTTCATCTGAATTCTTCAGATGCTATCTTTTGTCTTATTCTCTTTGCTCATCACTGAGAACCAATACCTGACACCTATGACTTCAGAAAGATAGATTTATTTTGGCTCAGGGTTATACTCCATGGTAGGCTCTCTCCAAGGCAGAAACAGTATGGCAGAAGACCATGGTGGATGAAGAGTTGCTCATGTCATTGTGGCCAGGAAGTGGAGAGAAAACAAAGGAGCCAAGGAGCGAGGCATAGCCTTCCAGGTCACACCCCCAGTGATCTGCCTCTAACCAGGCCCCACCTCCTAAAAGCAAGTCAGTTATAAACTTATCAGTGGACTAATCCACTGATGAATATAGCACCCTCATGATCCAATCACCTTCCAAACACATGAGGCTGGAGGAAGGGATACCCAGATTTAAACCATAATACATAACAATTTATTAAATTGCCATGTACACTAGGTAGGTTTACCACTTCCATTTTCTTGATCTGTCTAGCTCTTTTTGCTTAAGACAGTATGCAACATTGTTTCTCAAAAACACTGTAATGCAAAACTAGGTGTGGGTATATTTTGGGTACTGTAGTAGAAATGGTAAGAATGATCACTTCAGACTGAACAGGAATGCACTCTTACAGGGGTTAGTATCATTCAAGGATGTGGCTGTGGATTTTACCCAGGAGGAGTGGCAGCAATTGGACCCTGCTCAGAGGACCCTGTACAAGGATGTGATGCTGGAGAACTATAGTCACCTGGTCTCAATGGGTAAGGATAGCTTCCTCGCATAACTTAGGAGTTGTCCAGTCAAGTGCTTTTTTTTATTAGATATTGTATTTAAGTGTTTTGCAACATATGTATTTATTTTTATGACCTTCATAACTTCTCAAATGGGGAACATTACTTTGTTTAATGCTAACTGCACAACTTCATTGTAAACCATCAGAAACTTCACCTTCTCTTCTTCCTTTCGTATAATTAATCTAGTTTCTTCATGATTTCCATGTAATAGGTTATCCAGTTTCCAAACCAGATGTCATCTCCAAGTTGGAACAAGGAAAAGATCCATGTATCATGAAGAGAGATATACCGAACTGGACCTACCCAGATGAAAATCACAGAGGTAAAAGACAAAGAAAGTCAAATATCAGTTTGTTTGATTTTTTAATTGATTGGTGCCTAAAGCTTATGGCTTATCCTTATTTAAATCTCTTACTCTTTATTCTTGTGCTGAGAATTTAGTAGGCATTCAAGAAATACTCTTTGTAGGCATTTAGTAAACATTCAATAATTAATTGAAAGTAATTGTGACCCTTTCCATGGAGAAGTATTTATGATTTATTTGCTCTTTAAATAGATGATAGATAGACAGATAGACTATATGCTTTTTATGATGTGAAAGAGCTTTAGAGGCAATAGAAGACAAAATTCTTCCAAAAATATAGGTTGTATTTTAGAGTGTAAAATTTCCTGATACATGACTGTACACAATTAAATGTCAAATAACTGTTTTAAAAGTTGAGAGAAATTCAGAATTTAAAGAGTTATAACAGAATTTGAAAAGGTGTTTTTCAGAGAATGCAGCTGTACCTGCTTTGAATGACATAAGTTGTGGTGAGGCTGCTGGAGACAAAGGAAAGCTAAAATGATATAGAAAAGAAAATATATAAGCAAAACCTTGGAGTTAGAAAGACATGGCTTTTCTGGGATTTGATAGTTTTACTTGATACACATAGAAAGTACTATCAGGAATAGTGGAATTTAAGTGTATATTCTTGTGTGAATCTGATATTGAATCTATAGAAGGATCTTGAGTTTTCTGTTGTTATACTTGTTAGGAAAATAGACAGGAGAATTAAAGTGTTTTGGGGTTTTTTTGCTGTTTTTGATTTGTTTTGTTGAGACAAGGTCTCACTTTGTAGTTCAGGCTGGCCCTGAACTCACTGTGTAGCTCAGGTTGCCCTCAAATTTGCAGCAATTTTCCTGCTTCAGCCTCCCAAGTGCTGGGATTACAGGTGTACACCACCACACCTGGCTTACTTAAAGTGTTTTGAGTACAGAAGAGATCTTTCTTTGGAGTGGTGGCAGGCTAATAGTGAAGTATATATAGCAAATGGTTTATAAGACAAAGGAATTCAGAAAGTGTAAAGGATTTTTTATTTAGAAAGCAATGAAAATGAGAAGATCCTAGAAGCATAATCTGAGATTAGAATAGTAAGAACCTAGATACTCTTCCATCTTTAAGTCTAAATTTTACATGAATAATTTCTCATCAATATCCTTATGTATTCTACCAGTCATATTTTAGGCTGCAGTGTCTTCCAAAATGCATTTTTCTAGTTCATATACTATGTTGAATCATCCATTTGTTCCTCTTTTTGCACTCTTAATTGTCCCTTATACCTTTTTTATTGTATCTTTTTTTAGACAGGAAGAATAACCTTCATAACTCCCAATCATGTATTTTGGGAACTGTTTCATTCTATAATAAGATACTAAAAGGAGTCACAAAGGACAGTTCATTTTACCCCATTTTAAAAGTCTATCATGGTGATGGACAGCTGCAGACATGTCAGGAAAACCAAGACAAACTTTTCAGGCAAGTTACATTTGTCAGTAGCAAAACAGTATTTGAAGCATCAAGTCATAAATATAATGCATTGGGAAAAATATTGCAAGAATACATAAAGCCAGATATGCCAAAAGAAAGGCTTCATAAATATGATTCATTCAAAAAGAATATAAAACCAAATATTGACCTACCTAATTGCAATACAAGTAATTCAAAAAAAAACTTAGATGAGAGTTTTGATGCTGCAAAATCACCTATCCACCATGTATCTAATTCTAATATTGAGAAATTACACAGTGGAGTAATACCCTGTAATGATAATCTATGTGAAAACATTTTCCTCAATAAACAATCTCTTATTCAGTATCAGAATGTTGAAACTAAGGAGAAAACTTGTGTCTGTATTACATGTGGAAAAGCTTTTGCTAAGAAGTCACAGCTCATTGTACATCAAAGAATTCATACTGGAAAGAAACCATATAATTGTGGTGCATGTGGAAAAGCCTTCAGTGAGAAGTTTCATCTCATTGTACATCAGAGAACTCACACTGGAGAAAAACCTTATGATTGTTCTGAATGTGGAAAAGCATTCTCTCAGAAATCATCTCTCATTATACATCAGAGAGTTCACACTGGAGAAAAACCATATGAATGTAGTGAATGTGGGAAAGCCTTCTCTCAGAAATCACCTCTCATTATACATCAAAGAATTCACACTGGAGAGAAACCTTATGAATGCAGAGAATGTGGAAAGGCCTTCTCCCAGAAATCACAACTCATTATACATCATAGAGCTCATACTGGAGAAAAGCCATACCAGTGTACTGAATGTGGAAAGGCCTTTTGTGAGAAGTCCCACCTGATTATACATAAAAGAATTCACACTGGTGAAAAACCCTATAAATGTGCTCAGTGTGAGGAAGCCTTCAGCAGGAAGACAGAACTCATCACACATCAGTTAATTCATACTGGGGAGAAACCCTATGAATGCACTGATTGTGGAAAGACCTTCTCCCGTAAGTCACAGCTCATCATACATCAGAGAACACACACTGGAGAGAAACCCTATAAATGCAGTGAATGTGGCAAAGCCTTTTGTCAGAAATCACATCTCATTGGCCATCAGAGAATTCACACTGGAGAAAAACCTTATGTATGTACTGAATGTGGGAAAGCCTTCTCTCAGAAGTCTCACCTCCCAGGACATCAGCGGATTCATACAGGAGAGAAACCTTATATATGTGCTGAATGTGGAAAAGCCTTTTCCCAGAAATCAGACTTGGTTTTACACCAGAGAATTCACACTGGGGAAAGGCCCTATCAATGTGCTGTATGTGGGAAAACCTTCATTCAGAAGTCACAACTCACTGTGCACCAGAGAATTCATACAGTGATAAAATTATAATGAACTGACCACAGGAAAGCCTTCAGCTTTAGGTCAGGCCTTAATAATTACTAGAAACACATTAACTTGATAAGCATGAGCATAATATCTTTATAAAGTTGTACAAGGGAAATAATGTTTCTAGTGTGGTAATGCCTGATGTTTTCAGCTAAGATAATAGAAAATAATTATGTAAGTAGACTTTTAAAAAAAAAATTTTGAGACAGGGTCTCACTATGCAGTTTAGGTGGACCTTGAACTCACTATGTAGTCCAAGCTGGCCTCAAACTCCTCCTGCCTCAGCTTCCCAAGTGCTGGGATTACAGACATGTGCCACCATACCTGGCTATAAGTGGAATTTTTTGATACAACATGTAAAGATTTTAAAGTTTTGAACATATTGATCCATGGAATAAAACATACATACAGAATATTTTTGATTTGTATACTTCTTACCGTATCATATGTTAATGAAATGTTGAAATTGCCAATATCTGCTTGGTTGGTATAAGTATAACTGTACAGATCATGGAAGAAAGCTTAAGTAAAAATTCAACACAAAACCGATTATTGTCACTGTATTATAAGAAACTGCATGTAAAATTCTTATACAGGGCCAGGGATTTAGCTCAGTGGTTCTGGCGCCTGCTTTGCAAGCTCAAGGTCCTGAGTTCGATCCCCGGTACCAAAAAAAAAATTCTTATACAAAGATGGAAAGGTAGCTTAAGCATATTCAACAGAGATATAGATATATAGATATTTTTCCATCTGAAGTATATAAGTTGACCTGCATCTCTGAAAGGACCCTAGCCCTTGAAATTGATGCATTTTGACCAGGTTCCTCCTTTACTCTCCCCAACCAGTAACAATGTGGAGACTGTTTTACTAAAGCCAGATTATCTTGGGTTTTAATCCTCACTCAGCTACTCACAGATGTGTGACTTCAGGCAAGTGTACATCACTTGTCTGAAAATTTCTTCTTATCAGTAAATAAAAGTACAATGTAGAACATATATTAACTTAATATTAGTTCTTTATCTTTCTATTCTCATGCAACAGGGTGCTAGGACTAATGTGTGAAATCTATATCTGAGCTTGCTTTGCACTCCGAATACTCCTTATGATTGCCTACCCCTGACTCATCCATTTTACTCTCTGACGTTGATGGCCTTGTTCTTGCTATGAGAAAATGATATTTTTAATGCTTTTGTTTTTCTACATATATAAAGTGGTGATTGTACATAATGATCCTGCCTAATGTGTTTTCAGCTCTTTCTGACCCCTACCATGTAGCTCCAACTGTTTTCCCTGGAAGCTGAGCAAAGTTAAAGAAAAAAACTCTTGAGATGAGATGATGCACCTTACACCTGCATAGATTGCAGAATTCAGTATCTCTAAAATGCCTCCCCTCCAACTCTTGTGTTCCCAGTGATTACTTTATAAGCAGCTTTAGTTAAGCAATTCTGCTGATGATACCCTTCAGGAGGAGCACATTTGACAAGGGTGATGGCATCTTTGTGGCAAAAGCAATATTGCACATAATTTCTGCTTGAATCCTTCACATTTCCAGCTCATCTGAACTCTTTCTAATTGACTAAACAGTCTGTTGTGAAAATTCAGGGGTCATCAGGGAAGGAAACCTTGCAGAGTAGAGGCACAACTAACAGCAATGTGAGAACTCAGTATTAAGGATGTCAGTTTTCCCCCTATTTATTGTTAAGGGAGAGGAAAATGAAACCCAAAGGAACAAGACCATTTATAAATAGAAAGTTAGCTAATTTTATTATTAAACAACAAAAGTAATAATACCATATAGCATACAGGTAGCCAAGATCTGTCTATGAACCTCTAGTGGGTTTTTAGCTCTATTTATGTGAAATTAACAATACAGTTGTTATAAATCATCCTGCTGTTGGTTATCAAATGACAGATACTAAATTTTCATCAGTACATACACTGAGTTTACTTTGTTCATCATTCATTATCAACATATTGTGTTATTGTCTCTTACAATGTATTGAACACACCATTAGTTGTATTCCTCAGCATTCCTCAATGAAGTTATGTCGTTTAGTTTCCCACAATATTGAATGCATCTCATGCCAAAATCCCAATAAAATTTAAAAATGGGTAGTCAAATAGACTGAGGGTAAAAGTGAATCTGAAA